CCCTAAATTTGTTACTGTTTAGTCGATAAGTCAGAATTAACTCGCACTTGTACCCCCAGTTTCGTAATGGAAATGCTCGTTTGCAAGTGCGAATTTATTCGCTTTTCAACCAACCATCCCCCTAAATTTGTTACTCTTTCGGTAAGTCAGAATTAACTCGCACTTGTACTCACAGTCTCGAAATCAAAGCACTCGAGAAGTAAAGTCGCGTCTCTTCTCGGCCCAAAAAAATGAAGTCCTTTTCTATTTGCGAGTTAACTCGCCACTGAACCAACCACGAAGGTAATTTCTTATTGCACGGCGTAATTGAAATGCTCGTTTGAAGTGCGAATTTATTGGCACTTGAACTAACCACGCCCCTAAATTTCTTGTTGTTTAGTGGATAAGACCGAATTGACTCGCACTTGTACCCCCAATTTCGAAATCGAAATGCTCGTTTCAAGTGTGAACGTATTCGCTCTTGTTCCAACCAGGAACTTAATTTCTTACTGTACGGTGAATAAGTCCGAATCAGCTCGCATTTGTACTCTCGCCAGAAAAAGTGCGAGTTTACTCGGACATATCCAAACCACTTGCACATTGAACGAGTGGGAGAGGAGTCGGACTTGAGATAGCACTTGAGCTTCAAATCAGGGTCCGACAAAACGATATGGATTCAAATGTTGATGTTCCACTGTTTTGTGATAAATATTAGAAATGCGAGTTTACTCCCTCTTGTTTATTTCCCTGACCTCGTCATACGTTGACATGATTTTCTTGTTGTACAGTTTTCGTGTGAATAGTCTCTTCAAATGGGTGTACAATCCGTCCACTGTGTCACGCCAACGCCACCGTCACGACAACACGGAGAAGACGATGTTCGAGAACGTAGTCCTTGTGACAGCAGCCCGGAAACTCTCTCTGATCGCCATTGCGGTTTGAAAAGGGAGTTCTCGATGTTGACCCGGACGAATCATTCAGGCTCGTCTACGACGTCCGCTCGGCGTCGTTTTGTTCGCTTTACCGACGTTCCCGACGGTCAGCGCGTATCTACAGCGCTAATCCCCGATAGTGAGGGTATTCGGGATGTCGAGATGTTTCCCGGTGGATGGATGTTCGTGGACACAGTTATGTGGCGTGTCCGAAACGACTGGATCAAAACTCGTGCGGACAGCGGGTAGACTGTCTGAAAGCATTGAAGTTACCCAACCCCTAGCATTTGACTACAATCGGTAGTTGGTGGGTAGACTTCTGCGGTACGCCCGATAGAAACGGATCTGATCGGAAACAGTGCGGTGCATTTGGTAGAAACGCGTCTGATAGGGAACAGGCAATGGAACGTGCGTAAGAGAATTGCATGTGAAGCCGGAAAAATTATAGCCACGGGTGCAATGGAAAATTGGCAGACTGGTTTTGTAGACACAGATTTCTACAGTTCATCGGAATCCTCCCAATCTGATTTGCCGAGAACGGCTCCCACGGACAAATCAAAATTCCTAGGCGCAGCGCATAGGTCCCCGACCAAAAGTCACCCTGGAACTCCCGAAGCAGTCCTTCAGGTTTTGTCTCATCCCCTACCTGGAGAAAGGAGAAGATATAATCGGAAAATTAGGCCGGTTAGAAGGTCAGAACATTCGAAGAGGGCCAAAAGTCGATTGAATGAAACTAACATTGCGCTCGTCCCGACACACAAATGTTGTAAGAACAAGTGTCTTCGGGTCTTGACCATTGACCATATCAAACCGGTGCGCGAAGCCTATTACGAAATGTCCCTCGAAAGGAGGATCGAGTGGTGGATGCAAACCCTCGACAATTTCACTATCCTCGACGGTGGTCTGGAAAGAGTCCAACCAGTGCAGTGCAAACGCCGTGTGTGAATCACCGGTTGGTGCAAAATAATAGGGATATGTCGAAACACATTTCGTCGTTATAGCAAGTGCAAGTCAGACGAGGTCGTCCGTGGACGGCATGGTCGATGGGGATTGTTGAACCCGAGACCGGAGTATGTGAGCATGCTGGCTCGCGTGACAAGGTTCGTGGAAGAACATGAAGATAATATGCCTAACGAAATGGTTGTGAGGGGGACCTCGCAGAGACCTAAAGTTAGGCTCCCTGCTTATTTCACAAAGCTCCTTGTATATGAGTCCATCAAGGCGGACTTGGAAGCGGCGGGTCAGACCGTCGTTTCGGAGCGAGTCTTCTACTCCATATGGAGGAAGTACTTGTGGCATGCCGACCTTGCCAAGTCCAACTCGTTCACAAAGTGTGGCGAGTGCGTCCGCCTTAGACAGGCCAGAGATAACGCCCTTCGCCTTCGTGACCGTAGGGATTTCGATGAAAAGCACCGCAAACACCAACTAGTTCAGGTCGCTCACCGTGCGGATTACGCTGACTGAAAACTTCGTTCCATTCTGAACCCCGCGGAACACCTCTGTCTTATAGTGGATGGAATGGATCAGAAAAAGACAACCATTCCTCACACCGGCATGTATAATTACTCCAAGGATCATCGACACGACATGATGATGAAAACGAACCTGACCGTGGTCGTAGCTCACGGCAGGAAACTGTCCATTTATGTTTACACGTATTTGCCTTTCTATGCGCACGGTTCCGATGGCACCATGACGTGCGTTATGCGGACTCTATGTGAGTTGCAGGCGTCGGGACAGAAATGGTCACGCCACCTCCGAATCCAGGCGGACAATTGCTGGAGGGAAAACAAAAACCAATACCTTATGTGTTTGGCCTCTCTTCTGATGAGATTCGGGATTTTCGAAGATGTCGAAGTGGGGTTCATGCTCGTTGGCCACACACATACCGACATAGACGCGCCTTTTAGTGTTTTCTCGAAAAAACCGAAGGACAACGATGCTTACACCATGAAGCAGTTGTTCTCGCTTATCGAGTCGTCGCACAAGATACAGCCGAAGTGCATTGAGCTTGATCACATTGTCGATTGGCGCCGGGTAGTGGATCGATACGTCGACAAAAGCATCGTCGGCGTGTCGAAACCGCATCTCTTCAAATTCTTCATGCGTGACGGCAGTCCCGTCATGGTGTACAAGAAGGATTGTACTGATGCGGAATGGATGCTGGAAGGCAGACCGGTTCACTGGTTCCCGGTTGTCGATGGGCAGTATGCAGGCCCTGCCTCCCCTCCATAACCATGTGTTATTCCCCGTGTCGTTAAAGACGATTTTCAGATGGCTCGTGACAGTGTCCAAAAATTTATGGACGTCCTCGAACAGCATAGACACATGTGGCAGACATATCGAAAGGAGGAGGTCGACAAGCGGGAGGATGCTTTGTCTTACTGGAAAGCAATCTTCGTCTAGGCGGACGATATGATCCAAAGCAAACGAAGGAGGCGGAAGAGGGTGACGAAGAGGATGTCCTCGGGGCGAACGAGCCCGAGATGTACCCTCACACCTTCTGGCCACAATCAGTCGAAACTGTGGAGGAAGTTCAAGAAACCGACCCTCCTTCGCCAGATGCTTCGCTGACATATGTAGAACCGACGGCGGGCCGTCCAAAAGTGGACTTCGACCCTCGACGCCATATAAACAAAGGTGATTTTCTGATTGTTAGGCCGCCTGATGAGGAACTGTCTCAAGGTGTCCCGTTCTGGGTTGGCAGAGCACAGTCTGAGGTTGTGGTCGACCGTTCCTCACCTCATTTCGGTTGTTTATGTATACAGTGGTGGGTGCCTACAGGTCACTCGTCCGATCTTCGCGAAAGGTACTCTGGCGCTTGGATGAAGAGGTGGAAACTTTCCACTTCGGATGAGGAACAATGGCAACGCACCGAAACCGTGGCTTATTCCTGGAGAAGACCTTTTCGCAAAGGGACGGATGAGAGCAAATTCGTGACAGGCCTAACAATACCGACATCCGTTTGCGAGAAAGCGCTTGTGGCCCTGGGGGAAGGCTGTCTATCCGGTCCGTCCGACGTACCCGTTTAGTTAAATGCGAACTGATTCGGATTTGTTAGCTACGAACTCCTTAACTGCGAACTAATTCTGGTTTCTTGTCCTGTAGGATGCATGACGACGACACAACATCGTGCGACGTTGTATACGAGACAACGTCCTACGAAACCTCGTCGTACGCGAGCGAGTATTCCTTTTCGATCGAGAATGTGGATACGGATCTTATCATCATGAACAAATGCATTTGGGCACGAGGAACGCTCAGTCTTGACAGCGATTATCCGCATATCGA